GGTTGAGACCAATTCGGGGTGCGACCAGAGTCACGGAACGAATTAAGTTCGTAAACCGAGGTTCCACTGTATAAGCAGGGAGCAAAGCCCACCCTCCCTCGCACTGATGATGTGACCTAGTCGGGGAATGAAACGTCTGCAAGCAAACAGCCAAGCTCAGAGAGCCCCAAGGGCTCCGCGGTTCAGCCCTGAGCCACGGAGATTCTCTTCTGTAAAAGGAAGCCTTTCGATCTTCTTCCCCAGACCTGCAAGGTTTGAGCTCCTGCTGTTGTCTCAAAGTGTGTTTTCAAAAAGGCACATCCGTCTTTTTTAAAGCATCCCTCAAGATTTTTTGTTTTATACAAACCATTGGGGGGGGGGGTAAAAAAAACCCTACATTCCAGTTTTAAACTTTCTAAAATAACATTATATTTCAAGTATAGACGAAAATTCCCACAATCTGGATCAGCCTGGGGCATGCCTGGCCTAGCACGCCGTTCATTCCTGTGGTGGAAAACCAGCTTTCCACATGGGAAACCCACAAGGAAAACAGCGGGCCACCTTGTCCTTGCACCCCTGTTTCGCAACTGTTGGCACCCGCAGGCCAACAGAAGCTGTCCCGCAGCAAAAGCCCTTGGTCGCTTCCTACTCTCCTTTTGTTTCTCCTGAACTTGGTGTCCTCCATTTCTGCCCCCCATCCCCGAAAGAAGCTCCCTTCCTGGCATTGCCCCCTGCCTTCCAACCTGACAGCTGCAAAGGGACGCTGCGTTTTGTGTAATTCTGCTGAACACTGGCATTTCAGCTTGCTCTTGAGGGCAGCCACAGAGGAGGGCCTCACTGTGGGGTCCAGCAGCAATGCATTGGCGGGAGGAATCGGTGGCAGTTGTTGGGGGCTCTGTTCAGAGAGTGGCAGTCAACTGAGGGGACCTTGCAGCGTCTCCTCCTTAGGTATTTTGAGAAAGTGGGATGGACCCCCCCTTGGTCTCCAGAAGAGCCCTCTCCTGCCAGTGGTCTCCCCTGGTCTTACGGCAGCTCTTCTGCCCTCAGTTCCACGATGGAATGGCAGCGGGACGGGCGCTCGGGGCTGCCCAAGGACTCCAGCGCCCAGCAGGGCCAGCTTCTCCTGCCCCATGTGGAGCTCTCCTCCGAAGGCACCTACAGCTGCTACGATGGCAGCGGGCTTCTTCTGGGCTCCGTGGCCCTTCGCGTTGGCCGTAAGTGTGGGTCTTGTGGGGGAGGGAATGAGACCTGCCTTCTCCAGGGTTAAGGAAGCCACGGGGTGGTGAGCTGCAGCGAGGTGGGGGAAGCACACGCGGGGCTGGAGGGGCTCCGACCTCGGGGCGCTTCCCTCCAAGTAGCTCACTCCCTCGCCCGCAGGGCTCCCCGGGCTGCCCTCCGTCTCCTGCAGAGCGTCCAACTACGAGAACTTTTCCTGCTTCTGGACTCCCAGCGTGGAGACACTTCTGCCCACCAGATACGTCGCCACCTACCAGTACGTCTGTGAGTCTGTGCTGGACCGTACCACGGCCAACGTAGCTGAAGAGGTCTGGGAAGGGCTCCGTGGGGGTCCGCAGAGGGGAGGGGAGGGGAGGCCATGCTGGGTCGAGATCAACAAGGCAACGGGAATATTGGAGGGGAGCTGGGGGCCGAGAAGGGGGCTGCTCTCCCCTGGGGTCCCTTTGCCTCCCTCTGTTTCTTGCACTGTGATCCTCCCGCTGTCCGGCTGCAGGGGAGGAGAAAAACTCTCTTTTTTTGGAACTTTTTTTAATTAGCTAAATACAGAAAAGAAAAAGTATTCACAAAATCATAAAAGAGGGGAAGAAAAGGCTAAAGAAAGAGGGAAAAACATACATACAGGGCATATACTCACAGATAGGCAAAGGGGAGGAGAAGGAACTCGTCTTCTGTCCAACCTCCGTAGCATTGCCAGATTCCTCAAAGGCCCACCCGCCACCCGCCACCCCAGTTCTTCCCCAGGTGCGCAAGCATTGTGCTTCCCACTCCTCCTGTGCCGGGGGAGCTAAACCAGCCAAAGGAGAGGGCAGCAGCCTGACTGCTTGCAAGCCAGTCGGAGGCCACGGCTGGCCCTCTCTCGGCCTCGTCTTGGCCTCCGGGCTGGGGCTGGTGTTGCTCGAAATCGCAGCTGGGCGGTCGGCCTCCTGGGAGCGGGTCTTGCCCTTTCCTCTTGAGGCCGGGGGGGGGGCGTGATAAAGTTGGCTCTCTCAGTTCACCGGCCTCTTCCTCATTTCCTAGGAAAAAACAGCCGGCCGGAACTGACCAGCAGAGGTACGTCCTGTCCTTTTGCAGTTCGCATCTTGCCCAGAAATGTTGGTCTGACTTTTTCTTGGCCCACATGCATCCCGCACGCCCCCCGCCCCCCGCCCACGTTTCCTGCTTCACATACAGATTGCTGCACCGACCCAAGGGGCGGGTCACGGGCTCAGAGCATCATGCGTAATAAACTCGGGACACCCCTCAGTCAGTGGACTTTTCCATTTCTTTTATAAGGGGAAACTGGCATGAATCGCGACCGTTAGGGAGAAAGCCAGGATACAGATCGAACGACGATATATTACTATGTATTATTATTACTGTGGTTGCTGGAATTGCTATTTACACCCTCCAGCAAATAGTTCTGACTGGATTTGATGCTTCTGACTATTGGATTCCTCCCAAGGATCTAAGATAGTTAATGATATTGTCATAATGCCTCCACCGTTCCAGACAAAGCAGCCTTTAGTAGTTGAAGAGTTGAGGTTCTGTCCATTCCTACCGGCTCCAAGAGCTTTTCCAGAACTTTTGGGGCGGCGCCCAGTGCACCCACCACTACAACTCTCTTTTCCCACATTCACTCCCTCTCCATTTGAAGGTCTTCACATCTCCCTGTTTTTTCTGGTACTTCCTCCTTGATCCCTCTGTCTCCAGCTACTGCCGTGTTGATTCTCTGTGCTCGTTTCCTTCCTCCTCCTCCTCCTCCTCCTCCTCCGAGAGCTGCAGCTTTCTCTTCTCAGTCGGTAGGCTGGAGGAATGAGGACACATGGATGAGCATCTCTCCCTGCTCCCAGCACGAGGGAGGATCTGTTTCTTCCTTGAAGCCAGTTCTTCTGGCACTTCCCTGTAGGCAGAAGCGTCTGCAGTGCATGGTCAAAAAAGTCAAGATGGTGGCCACAACTGCGGTCGAAGCTCTGCCTGCTTTTTGTGTACGCCGCACATAAGCCCTCCCCACCACTTTAGGATGGGAGTGAGTGACTGAACGGGATGAGCGAGGGGTTACCTACGAGGAGCCCTTTGCTCAGCCAGGGAGGTGCTCAGAACAGCCCTTTGGGAGGGTCCCTGTTTGCAAGAGAAAGCTAAATTCTCTGTCATTAATTAAAACCGTCTCCTGCATGTGGAGAGTTAGCATCTCAGGGAGTGAGGGAGTCTCCTCAGCTCCGTTGTCTCATTTCCCAAGTATAAAGAGCTTGCGATTCCTTTACACGCTTGGATGCAAAAGGCATCAGGAGTGGAGCATATCCAGAGCTCTGGGCTGGACTGTGGGGTTCTTGGTGTTCGCGGAGCTCGGTGGTTTTCCTGTAGACGCTTATTGCCAAGCCCGGTAACGTCATCAGCCTGTGTAGATTAGCGCCCCCCGACTTCTTTCCAGATACGTTGGGGATTTTGGGGGCACTGGATTTTGGTCCTCTTTCTGCAGAAGGGTGGGCCGCTCTCTCCTTTGTGAGAGCTTTGCGAGGTGAGTGCTTTCTCTTGCTTTCGTGTAAGCAGGCCCCCAGTCAACGGTGTGGGGCTGTGTGTCCAGGATCCTGCCCTACCTCTCTCCTGCACAGTCAGCAAGTCCCAGTTCTGGAGCTCTTACCGTGTGAACGTGACCGAGGTGAACCCCCTGGGATCCAGCTTCAGTCTCCTGGACATCACTGTGCAAACCATCAGTAAGTCCTGCCCTTTGGAAGAGGAGCATCCTGGCTGCCTGGGAAGGGAAGGGATTTTATTTACAGGTCGTCCTTATTTAGCGACCACAATTGGGACCGGTCACTCGGACGTTAAGCGAAGTGGTCACTGAGTGAAACGACGACCGTGCTTATGATCTGACTTCAGCTCTCCTTTGCTTTATAGACCTGCAAAGGTCATAAAGACGAGGATTGGCCGCAAAGTTACTTTTCCATCACTGTCGTAACTGTGAATGGTCACTAAATGAGGACTGCCTGTGTTTATTGGCTGGAACTTCCAAGTTCCTCCAGTCCAGCAGATGAAGGCACCTCTGCAGGACAGAACATCAGTAGGCATGTTTATCTCCCCAGCTTCTCCCCAAACAGTTCCTGGGATTCAGGGCCAATTTCCTTTGTCCCAGGGAGCAGCTGATTTGGGGCTCTGATTACTCCTTCTTTACGAAACTCCTGCCCTGCTGCCTCCTGAACTTTGGTGGGACAGCCTGTTCTAAGAAAAAAAGTAGGGAATGATTATTCCAAACCATGAGGATGCTGCAACATGTGAAGCAGATTGACTTTCTAAATGCATAATCGATTGGGTTTTGTCCTTTTCAGTCAGCGTGTATGACTGTTTTAGCAGCTGGGCCTGTGTCTTCCTCATCTCCGCAGCTTCTTCTCATACCTGTTGCCAATCGGAAGTTTTTTCCAGCTGATAATGGGATCGATGGTTGCAGCCCTCGTTGGCTCTGAAGGGGGAAGGCTTGGAGGGCTGCAACAGGGCTACCACATCTGAGCTGCAGAAATGCGGAGGGCGAAAGTGTCTTGCTGCCCTTTGTGGTTCCCTGCATTTTTTCAGCCCAGATCTTGTGTCTCCAGGCTGGGAGACACTCAGATGGAGGCAAGGCAGAGGAACACTTGACTCATGAGAAGTTGGGAAAGAGGGCTACGTTCCCAGATAAGCTGGGTTTTGGCCCAGATAATGGGGAAAGGGCAGGAGACACGGAGGGCCCTGGGCTTATTCCCCTCCCCTCCTCTGCGTCCTCTCCAGCCAAACCAGATCCGCCAGAGGGCCTGCGGGTGGAGCCGGTGCCCCTGGCCCCCAAGCGGCTGCGCGTGAGCTGGGAGTACCCCTCCACTTGGCCCAAGGAGCCTTCCTTCCAGCTCCGGTTCCGGCTGCGGTATCGGCCCGTCCTTTACGACTCCTGGTCAGTGGTGAGTCGAGGGAGTGCAGGGGCTGGGCTCTCGGGGCCCACTGCTTTGCTTTCGTGCACGTGGCTCCGCTGTGCCCTTTCTGAAATACAAGGGTTGTGCCCCAGGCATTTGGGGTGGCTGGTGGAGGGGAGCAGTCGGTCCTGCTGAGCCTCTAGACCCCCTGCATGTACGGAGCCCGGAGCCTTGGCCTGGGGCAGGGGAAGGACTGACTGCTGGCCGCATCCTGGCCCGGCAGGTGGAGACGGCCAAGGTGTCCGAGGTGATCACAGACGCCTTCATGGGCCTGGAGCACATGGTCCAGGTGAGCGCCAGGGACTTCCTGGATGCCGGGAGCTGGAGCGACTGGAGCCCGGAGGCGCGAGGCTGGCCGGCTGCTGGTAAGGGCATCGCGCGGAGGAGGAGCCGTGGTCAGAAGCACAGGAGGGCAGCGCAGGGCGAAAGGTCTGGAAGCGGGGGCTGAAGGGGACCGAAGCTTGGGCAGACTTAAAAATAGGAGAGACTTATCTGCAGATATGGGTAATGCTGCTGCCAGGATTTCTTCTAGCACCAAGGCTCCAAGGCTTAATGGAGGGCCGGAAGACCCACACCCACGCGCACACACACACACAACACACGGCTTCTAGATCAAAAGCTTCCAGGGAAGGCGAGCCCAGGAGCAACCGAGGGCTGAGCTCTTCCTCTTGGGCCCCCCGTCCTTGCGGTGGGAAGCTGGCCTGGGGTCTCCTCTGGGAGTCGAGCCCAGGAGCTGTAACGCTCTGAGGCTGCCGGGAGCCTGACCACCAGGGAGTCTGCTTGTCGCCTGTTTGGGGAAATCATTTGGGGAAGTAAAGGCTGGATAGCTACACAGGAACACTTTTCCTAACCCACATGGCACATGCGTCATTTAAAAAGAAAGTATTAGGGCAGCTTTGTAAAATTTAATTTCTTTCTGTTTTTCAGAAAAAATAGAGGGAGCGGGAGGGGGACTCCTGGCACCTTTTTCTGTTTCTTTTCCCTGCATTTTTCCACCTGGAGAATGGGGGCCTTGGAAGATGCAGCCCGTGGCCTCTAGCACCAGCTGGGTGCTCCCCCTTCCTTCTCCTCGGCCGTTTGTGCTGAAAGCATGTGGGGAGAGCTGTTCTTGAACCCGAAGGAGATGAAGCGTTGCAGGAGGCAGGACCTGAGCCCGGCCCCTCCAGATCCGTGGGGCCACAGGGCTTGGGATTCTGGGCCTGGCAGGATCGCCTGCCTGGCCTTGCCAGCCCCTCCCCACACACACACAGCCCGTGGGCCAGGTGGGGGAGGCCTGCTGCCCCCATCCCCAACATTTTCCCAGGCCGTCCTATTTTGCTCTCTTCCTCCCACAGGGCAGATCGATGAGCCCGGTGAAGCTGCCACGGCTATCACGGAGCTGGAAACGCCAGCCGAGGAGCCCTCTCCAGCCCCCAAGGATGAGCCAGTCGGTACGTGGGTGGCAAGAAGCCGCAGGTCGGCATGGAGACCAAGGCCGCTGGGCCAATGCTAGCTCTTCAGACCCAGGATTGTTGTTTTTAAGAATTAAGATTGCATCAAAGATCCTTATGGAAGGGCCCCCCAAGGCTCCTTTGTCTCGACTTGTAGGGGGCAGGGCGATGTCTATGCAGAGGTGCCCACAGGGTGCAGCCACTCAGGGCCCCTTCTGTCTCCTCCAGCAGGCCACGGTGACTCCATGGAGAAGGTAGCGGTGCTGGTGTCGCTCGGCGTCTTCGCCTTCTTTGTCCTGGTGGCACTCCTGCTTTTTGCCCTTCTGGTGTGGTAGGTGGATAACCTGGGCATGGATGCCCAGGTTGAAATGTCTGCTCGCCTGCAGAGCTCAGCAGGGAGCCTTGGTCCAGTGGGAACAACCTCTGCAAAGGACCCCTCTCCATCTTTTCTCCCTCTCTTTCCCTTGACAGGATCCGTGCAAAGAAGCTGAGCAAAGAAGCCGACAAAAACTGTGACCTGCTCGCCGCTGCCACCCACCTGAAGGCCTTGCCCAGTGAGTTCAGCACCTGGCCCCTTTTGGGGAGGGCAGAGCGACACACCCCTAAATCAGTGTGTCCCTCAAGAAGGCAGTTCAGATGCTCCACACGCAACAGTTTGGACCCTCCTGGGCACAGGACCCTGGAGGTAGAATCTGAACAGTAGGAGCAACTCCTTTTAGCGGGTCCTAATCCATGGGAAGGGTGGTCCAGCCTTCAGGTGCTGGAGGTTGAATGCTTCCGTGGGTCATGGCTATTCTGTGGAGTCTGTGAACTGCTCAGGTCAGACATGAATGGAAAGGCCCCGAAGCAAAGGGCCTCCCAGGTACCCAGATAGGTTGTGGCCAGAAGTTTCCCATGTCCCCTGCGCAAAGCAAATGGTAGCCTGAGCTAAAGTAGGATGTCCCTGCTGGCTGGGAATTCTGGGGGTCCAACCGGTGGCCTGCCCTCTGTCCTAGGTGAGATGCAAGCCTCCGATGCAGACGTTGGCTTCCGTCCTGTCCTGACCAGCCTCTCTCTTCCTCTGCAGGAGCCCAGCTCTTGTAGCACAGCTGTGCCTCCGTCTGGCAGAACAGCCGCCTCTCCCACCCAGGGCGCCATGGACCTCTCCAACCGCAGCTGCCTGTTGATGCTCCAGGGACATGACCCCGCCCTTCCCTGCCACCCTTGGAAAAGCTGCTCATCGACCGGACCTTGGCATCAGTGGCTTCGGCCCGGTCCCCTCTCCTTTGCCACAAACGGGCTGGATGCCAGACGCTGCTGGTTTTGGACTCATCGGTGGCCGAGGGACTCCTTGTGGAAAGACAGACCTGAGGAGCAGCTGGTTGGGGCAGAGGGTGGCACTGGCCGAGTCTTGCTCCTCACACCCCCGTCTCTCCCGTGAAGCTAAAGCCCTGCAGACTGGAGGAACCAGGCCCCTCCCCGGCCATGGCGGGGAGCCCCGGATAGCCTTGCTGAGAGAGACCAGCATTGCAGGAAATTGGCAGCTGCCTTGGCACGGGGGGAAGGACAGCCTGGCAGAGCAGAGGCAATGGCAGAGATCTCCCTGTATGCTAGTCGTGTGTGAAGCTGTGTGTGTGTCTGTGTGCGCGCAGAAACCTCTGCGCTTGGTTTGGTTCAGAGTATTAAATTTCAAATTTTGGGTTTTTTTACTGAATCTTCGGCAGTGCAAGCCCTCCTCACATGGGTGGTCGCTGGAGGAGGTGACTCATTTTCTGCCAAGAGAGCCTCGCAGGTGGCAGCTGGGCCAGAGCGGCTCCCTGGCCAGGCTGGCTGAGAACCCACCATTGACTCTTGCGATGGCCCGTGTCTACAAAGGACAGGAGGAACTCTGCCACCTGTGGGGGCCAAGGGCAGTCGATGGGCACCCGAGGGCACCTTTGGGCCCTGAAGGAGCCCTGGCCTTTGGCACGCTGGAGGGGCAGCTTGCTGGGCACCCTGCTTGCTTCTCTCCCAAAGGGTGACTGCAGGGACTGGGGGAGCAGGGGGCTCTTTCTCCTCCAGACCAGCATGAGAAAGGCCACCTCTCAACAAAAGCGAGGGTCCACTATGGAGGTGGTCTTGGCCATGGCGGGGAGGATGGTCAGTGTGCAACCTGGCCATTTGGAGTCTCATCTTGCTGGCCAGAAGACCGGAGGTAGCCCCTGCAGGCTGGATTGTGGTTTGCCCCACGGGTGCTTCTCTGTCTCAGGCACCGCCAGATCTTCAGGGAATGGGACTCCGGCCTGAATGCCTTGAACCCCTTTAAGGCACCTTCAACAGCATGAAGTCCATAAAGCAAGCCAGACTCGACTTGCGCGGAAGATGGGGAACGGGGGGCGGGGGGCTGCTTTTCTTCTTCACGCTCTGCCTCTCCTCTCCCCCGGAGCCCTGCTTCAGCCAGTTCTGAAGGGGAGATTGGACCAGGGAGCGCCACAGCCGGAGGCCCAGGGCTGGGACTAAGGCCAGGTTAAACAGCTTAACTTAAGACACCATGTGCGAATAAAGAACTTGCTGGCTTGCGGGCGTCCCATCAGGAGCAAGATGCTCGGCCAGATTACTTTTCTGGCTTGTGGGCAGCAGACCTGCAGGGTCCAACCTTCGCCTTGCTCAGCAGAGGGGAGGTAGCCAATGGCCTCCAGGCTTTCCTGTGTCAGAGGAGTCGTGGGCACTGCCCAGTGCACCAGTGGCTAGTTAGGGAGGTGTGCTGGTAGCCCTGGCCTGCCTTCCCTTTCCCTGGGGAGAGGCCAGCCAGGAGCAGCCGGGGGGCCCAAACGTCTGAGTCCTCTGGAGAGCGGGACGCATCGCCCTGCTTGTGCCGAAGTGGCCGGGGCTGTCCAGAGATGCCAGGGAGCTCAGTGGTGTGGGGAGAGATGCCAGAAAGCAGGATGGAAATTTCCTGAGACGAAGGTGGCAAGCGCCAGATGGGAGGAGAGGCTAAAAATAGCCAGGAAGACTCTCCGGCTGGGAGGCTGCCATGGCAGGAATCTCGCATGGGCCACGGCCATCCTGCCCACCAACTGGTGGCTCCCTGGGAACGGGTGGGAGGGAACAACTAGCACGTGGAAAGGCTTCTTGTCTCCATACATTTGGAGGTTCCAGCTGGGAATGTGGGAGAAGGTGGTTCTGCTGTGCGCAATTGGAAGATTCTGGGATCTGCGTCTGGAATGGGTGGCGCTGCTGGGTCTCTGAGGACCCAGAAGAGCATCTTGGGAGGTGCTTGAAAGGGGGCGCTGGGTCCTGCCCAGGAAGGAACGAGGGCTGGGACGCAGGACGGGACTTCTTCATGCAGCCTGGGCAGGAGGGCCCCTGGGCCTTGGCCTGGAGGTGTGCGTGAGGCTCGTGCTGCTCAAGGGGAACTCGGCTCGGCCTTCAGAGAGGTTTCTGTGCTTCTGTGCAGCAGAAGGGACCCAGAGTCTGGGGGTGGGGGGTGCTCTCTGAAGCGAGGGAGGAGGGGAACCCCGGGCAGCCAGAGAGGCTTGGGGCAGCTTCTCCCTCTTCCAGTCCAGTGGGCAGCGTTGGGTGGGTTTGGGGGGAAGATGAAAGGCAAACCTGGTTGCCTTGAGCTTCTGGAGAAGGGGTGGGATATAAGCTGTTCCTGCCTTCTGGGTGATGGTCTTCTCACCCACCCACCCACTCGCACTGGTGGTGCATTTCATGGTATGGCAGGCCTGGGCTGCACCAAAGCCACAGACTGGTCCTGGGAAAGACGGACAGACTTTTTTTTCCTTCTGGGATCCAGAGAGGAGAGGAAGTGTTTTAAGTCCTGGGTGTGTTAGGAACTGGAGGAGCTCCAACCCCCCAAGGTTTGGAAGGTGGGTGGGGGGTCCAGCCATTAATGCCTGCAGAGGAGCACCTGTGCAACCCCCAGTGTCTGGGGAGGGGCTCTTGCACTGTTCCACCTGGCCCCTCCTCTCGGGCCTCTCGGCATCCCCTCCCATCTTAGTGCTGATCAGTGCCGACCTTGAACTGGCAAGATAAGCTAAATGCCACTACCATCTTGCTGACAGAGGAAGGGAGGGCTGATTACACCTCACCAATAAACAAATACCACCCCCAAAATAAGGAAATCTGGCTGGCTTGAAGACATAGATTAATCATTGCTTAGCCATCTCTCTGGCTGTTAAGACAATCCCAATGCCGGAATAGGATTTTCACAGCATCACGCACACCCCAGTTTATGCCCTTGAAGATAAGCTGCCTGCATGCTATCTCCCAAGACGTGCCAGGGGAGAGTGCCCAGGAGCCTTTGATTCTGGCCTGGCTCCATAATGCCACGTCTGGGCTAGCTGATGGTATCACATAATTTGGTAATGTATGATAGCCGTCTAGAGCAGTATTTCTCAACCTTGGCAGCTTAAGACGGGTGGACTTCCACTCCCAGAATTTGCCCAAAACTACTCCAACAAGGCCAGAGCACCACAACGTAGTATTTATGGGTTTCAAGCGCCCCTTTGATTCTACCTCAAGAGGAGTCTTGAGAGAGGCACTTGGCTTAAGGCCTCTCCCTTAGCAAGACCTGCTCCTGCTTATGTACAACAGCTGAACACAGAGGTGCAAGTTAAGATGCACCCCTTCGGGCAACTTGCAGTATCCTAACCCAGAATGGCATCTAGCTGGGAGGAGCGCGAGCCCTTTCAATTCTCAAATTGAATTTGAACTCCAAATTAACTTCTAAGTTAGTTCTCAAGACTTATCTCTCTCAGCCGTTCTTTCAGATAGCCAACGAAAGTGCTTCGCCACCTCTACGCAGACGTGCTGTTGATCTTGTCCCAGAGTCCTGGGGAGAGCATTGTCTTGCACCACTAATCTCATTAATTATTAGAAGATGAAGATTGCAGTGTTTGCCCGGAGATGAACATTTGGAACTTCCACACTGAATGCTTCAGAAATCCACCAGATAAGAGCTCCCAACTGAAAATATGGTGCAGGCAATTTACGGAGGAGCTCCGGGTGGCTCTGTGCGGGAGGAGACCGTTTTGCCTCTGCTGCTACCGGATTAATAAAGGCCGCATCACCAGCCCAACTCCTTCGTGGAGCCCAGTGAGGTCTATAGCTCAGCGCAGCCTCCTGGAACCTCTTCACCCCAAATTCCCAGGGTGTTCACAGTTGGAATCCACAGTGGAGGCTTATACTATTTTCCATTTTGTCATTTTTGTTGATGTTTAATGTTTGTCCAAATAAGGGTCTTGGGCAAACTCCACTCAGCTGGAATTGCCGGCCAAAGAGCAGCCCACGCCCCGCCTCGGGAGGCTTTGCTGTCTCTACCTTCCTAAGCAGCAAGGCCTGGGCGTGGTGCGGCAGAGGAGTCGAGCTCAGCTCTTTGCAGCTTCAGGTCCTGGAAATCAGAGCCTAAGTGGAGGCTGCAGCCAGCCAGGCCCCTCTCCGCTCTGGAACAGCCCACACGGGCTTATCTCCGGCCCAGTTAGCCTTCCTCCATCCGCTCTACGGGAAGGCAGATCTGGTAGGACACCCTCCTAGGAGCGTACTTGCCCATGTCACCAGAACAGCCAGGTGGGTCCTCTTGTGCCACAAATACTCCAGGTGTCAGCACAGTAAACTTATTCTGCCTGTTGGCGACTGTCCCTGGCCACCCAGTTGAGTTTGTGCTCATCCTGCTAGTTGTGGGCAAAGAGCCAGCTCCAACCGCAGAGATGACAAAGGTCCCCATCCGAGCAGGTAGTCCTGCTACCCACACACCTGCTGTTATGTGGTTATGTTTTATTATGCTAATAGATGTCTTGTTATGTCTTGTCTGTTGTTTCGTGGTCTGGACTTTTTAATCCTTGCAGGGCATGTTCAGCTGCCAGCCACTGGCCATAATAAAGAGCTCGTGCATTCAGCTCCCCCACCCCACAAAAGAAATTAGCAGAAGATTCTTTGGGGCATTTCGGAATTCATTTGGTAGTTCCCCAGTCCCTACTGGTGCAAAACTTGTAAAAAAAGGAAAGGGGGGGAGGGACACAAAAGGTCAAATAGGGTTGCCCAAAGCACATGCAAGGAGAAGTGGGAAGCGGTGGGCCCAGGCTGCTGCTGGATGTTGGTGGCTCTGCACTCACATGCCAGCCAGATGCAATCCAGCTTCGCTGGGCAGATCTTTCATTTCACTTGGCACAGAAGCCCACCCAGCCGCCGCCTCTTCAGTAGAAACAAGTACTTTGTTAGAGGCACCGGCTCCTGCTCTTGGGGCGGGGGGGGTGTTTCCCGTGCTGAGTTTTGGGGCTGAATGTCCCCATCCTCTTTACGGGGAGTTCTGGGCAAAGACAGAGCTGGGAACTAAGTCTAGGCTGGCGACTCCTAAGCTAGTTTTGCCACGGAATCAAGGCTCCTTTCAGGTCTGTGATGCACCGCCCCCTAGTGGCAGAGGAGAGAAGGTCCAACCAAAGTGGGAAAACGAAGTTGGGGAAGGAGCACAGGGCGCGTTGAGGCAAACAGGTGGCTGCTTGGCGCACATCCCCCTCATCCACGTAAAATGAGGCAAGCAGGAGCAAGGGAGCCTGGGGCAGCCCAGGATGAGCCCCAGCAGCCCCCAGCCCACCCCTGCCTGGGAGAAGCCAGAGGGAGGAAAAATGGCACAGATGAGGGCACAAGGCACCCCTCAACCACGGGCACAGAGCAGCCCAACCCAGCTGGGAAGGGTCACAACTCCATGCCTCCCCCCCGCCCCGATGAC